TAGCTTGTGATATACCGGTGTTCTTAATCTCATTTGGTTCTACGTTTGCGACCTCTAGTAGCATTTATATTGCCTTAGCGCAATCGTCTGCGCATACAGTTCTCTTACGGGTTCCGTTCTGGATAATATGTGTTTGTGTATCTCTCTTCTTGGTGACAGGTAGAAGAGAAAATCACTGTCATCTTTATCCCGATGAACATGGATGTGGTGGTTTATGATTTCCTGCTTGTCCCTCGTTTGAATCAGTTTTCTTTCCTAATATTTCTTCTTTTATGGAGTGAATTGGATAAACAAGCTTCGTTGGTATTGTAAGGATCTTGCTCCCGTCGAATTCTTTTCTCTGCGTATGGTGCAGTGTGTGTGGTCCTACTGTTTATACTAGATGTGGTCTTCGAAGAAGCTTATGATGTTGTTGTGACGATTTGATATGGTTCTTTTTTGTGATTTGTATCGCCATTTTTCTTGTTTTAGACCTAGTATATGAACTCGATGAATATAAAGAACACACTTTATTAGCTTAAGAAAATCTCTCAAAACTTAAGCTCTCACACAATAATCTCTCTCACTAGTAAGTTCATGGAACATTTTACCATCTTCTTATATAGAGATCAATTCCTAAATCAAATAGTAAAACCTTTTATAATAAACATAACTTGAATGGGATTAATAAGACTTGTCTTTCAAGCTATCTTCATGTTTATTTCAAAATTCTCCCCCTTAAACTTGAAGTCACCATGATTCAAGACTTGAACTCCAACTAGCTCTCTCATCTCAGTGAATTGAATTTTTCCCAAAGCTTTTGTTAGTATGTCAGCCCTTTGTAGATTTCCTGCGATATGCTCCACCTTCACTTGATCATTGTCGATGCATTCTCTTATAAAATGGTAACGCTTGTGGATGTGCTTGCTTTGTCCATGAAACACTAGATTCTTTGTGAGTGCAATTTCAGATTTGTTGTCTACTAGAACAAGTACTTTCTCACACGGTGTCTCCAATACTTCAGCAAACAATTCCTGCAGCCAGATAGCTTGTTTTGCGGCTTCTGTAGCGGTCATACACTCTGCTTCACACGAGGATAAGGTGACTGTTTCTTGCTTAGTAGAGCACCAAGTGATAGGACAGTTATTGAGGTAGAACATATGATCCGTGGTGCTCATCCCATCATCAATATCAACATTGTTACTACTGTCGCTATACCCCACCAATGATGTATTGTTTGATCGTTTGAAATTGAGTCCATATGCAACAGATCCCTTTACATACCGTAGAACTTGTTTTAAAGCTGCAGCATGTGACTTTTTCGGCTCGTGCATATACCTACTTAACACACCAGCTGAATATGAGAAGTCTGGTCTTGAATGTACGAGATAGTGAAGGCATCCTATAGTTCTTCGATACACCTTCTCATCAACATTTAACTCTGCTTGTGCCTTAGAAAGCTTCAAACCTGCATCCATTAGGAATTGAGTTGCATTACACTCAGCCATATTTGTTCCTTCCAAGATCTTCTTTGCATAACTCTCGTGCTTCAATGTGATACCGCCATCAAACTGCAAGACTTCAATGCCGAGATAGTATGTTAATAAGCCAAGGTCACTCAGCTCGAATTTTCTCGCATATTTTTCTTGACTCAGTTATTAACCCGAGACTTGACCATGTTATAAGTATGTCATCGACATACACGGCCACAAGAAGCAAGTGTTCCTCCTTTTCCTGTGATAAAGTGATGTCTCCTTTGTGCATCTTGTGAACCTTAAATCTTCTAGTGCTTTGTTTAGCTTCTCATTCCACATTCTTGAAGCCTGTTTTAAGCCGTATAAAGCTTTCTTTAGTTTATATACCTTTTCCTCACTTCCTTTGATTACATAGCCCTCAGATTGACTGACATACACGTCTTCTTTCAAATCACCATGTAAGAATGCTGTTTTGACATCTAGATGGTGTATTTCCCATCCATTTGAGGCCGCCAAAGCTATTAGAAACCGTATGGTTTCTATTCATGCAACTAGAGCAAAGACTTCCTCATAATCTATTTCGTGCCTTTGAATGTACCCCTTTGCCACCAATATTGATATGTGCTTGTTTATAGTTCCATCTGAGTTTCTTTTGATCTTATAGAGAGCTTTTATCCCTTTTATTATTGTTGTTGTTGTTTGTTTGGCTGTCAATAGCCTCTTTGTATTCTAGTTTGCTGGAGTGTAAACATGTTTATGATTAATGCAAGTTTGGTTTGATCAAAAAAAAAGCTACAAACATAAGCAGATTAATTCGACTCTGGTGATGAAATGGAAAGTTTGGATTTATCGTTGTGGAATCCAAGATATGTATATCTGATGGTTTTATAAACAACGCTTGATGTTGCAAAAAGGTTATCAACATTCCAGGTTTTCTAACCATATTCTTTGTTATTTAAATTTAGCAGTTGACACTTTGTGAGTTTAGTTTATTCTAAGCAAGAATACTTTTTAATGTCCACTTGATTATCTGAAAACAGATTAATATTTCAGGAACTTGACAAGATGTTGATATCAAACTCCTCAAAGAATTTGAGAAAATGGTGAGGCATCTTCATGGAGTTTTGTATGTGTTCATTATCACATTTTCTCTTATACATTTAGTTCAAGCGCAGGATCAAAAAGGTATATGTATTGTAAATCTTGTATTCTGCTTTCAAAGCCTTAGATTGATTAAGACTCTTTTATTCCTTCCTATGTTCTTGTTAGGATTCATCACTTTGGATTGTGGTTTGTTACCTGATGGGTCTCCATACACCGATCCATCTACCGGATTAACATTCACCTCAGATGCTAGTTTCGTCGAGAGTGGAAAGAACGGTCGAGTTGATAAAGATTCTGAGAGAAACTTTGAAAAGGCGTCTGTAACGCTGAGATACTTCCCAGAAGGGCAACGGAACTGTTACAACGTGAAGGTCACGCAAGGAACAAAGTATCTGATTAGAGCTTCCTTCTTTTATGGAAATTATGATGGTCGTAACATAATCCCAAACTTTGATCTGTTTCTTGGCCCTAATAAGTGGACAACGGTGAATTTGAGTGCTACTGTTCCAGGTGGTCAGTATAGGGAGATTATTCACATGTCCAAGTTAAGCTCTTTGCAGATCTGTCTTGTGAAGAAGGGAACAACTACGCCTATGATATCAACCTTGGAGTTACGGCCAATGAGAAGTGATATCTACATTAGTGACACTGGGAGCTCCTTGCAGTTCTTATCAAGAACTTATCTTAAAGGTTCTGGTAGCATTTTACGGTAAGTAAGCTTTGATTTGTGATAGAGATTTCATAAAACAAGGAAAACAAAGAGCAACGCGTATGTCTTTGATACTTACATTAGTACCAATGTGGTTTTGTTTTATCTCTAATGCAAGATTTGTGGCAGGTACCCTGATGATGTCTATGACCGTAGGTGGTTCCCGATGGTAGAGAAGGAGTGGAATATAGTAACTTCAACCCTCAATGTAAACACTTCTAATGGTTTTGATCCGCCTCAAAGTGCGATGGCATCGGCTGCAACCTATGTAAATGTCAATGGGATATTCCTTGGACCATTGATGATTCTATAACACGGTTTCACATTTACCTTCACTTTGCAGAGATTCAAACTTTGTTACCCAATGAGACCAGAGAATTCATTGTTTTTCTGAACGGAAATGAATTTTCTGAACCTTTTAGTCCTAAAAAGCTAAGCATTGAAACTTTGAACACTCGATCTGAATCGACATTGAGATGCCAAAGAGGGGCTTGCCTTTTACAGCTGGTGAAAACAACAAAGTCAACTCTTCCTCCTCTCCTTAACGCTATGGAGATTTTTACTGTTGTTGAACTTCCTCAGTCAGAAACAAACCAACAGGAAGGTGAATTTACATTTGATGAACAGAAATCTGCACGTGTTTTCAATTCTTAATATCATTAACTATGTAATGCCTCCAGTGGTTGCTATCAAGAAGATCCAAATTGCTTATGGACTGAGTAGAGTTAGTTGGCAAGGAGATCCATTTGTCCCCAAAGAGTTCTTGTGGGCTGGTCTAAACTGCAACAACACCGATATTTACACTCCACCAACAATTACTTCCTTGTAAGTTGTTACAATCTTTCTATCATGGTTAAGTCTTTTCTTTCGTGTTCAAAAAAAAAAAAGGTTAAGTCATTTCTTTGTTCTAAATGTATTATTATTTTTTTCTTTTTTTTTGCTAAGAAAAAATGTATTATATTTGTTCGTGACTGTATTCCCAGAAACCTGTCTTCAAGTGGATTAACCGATATAATTATGCCTGTTATTCAGAATCTAACCAATCTACAAGAACTGTAAGTATCAAACATAAATGAAGTATATGTACTCACAAGTTTTTTGGTTTGTCTACTGTGATGGATACTTTGTTTTTATCAATTCCTAGGGACTTATCAAACAACGAATTGACCGGTGTTGTGCCTGAATTTTTAGCTGACATGAAATCTCTTTTTATCATGTAAGTCCTTAAGACTGTATGAATGAAGCATAAAATGGTCAAGTTAATACTCTCCTAAATTTCTTATGTGTGTTATATGTATCATTTTTTCTACAATAACAGAAACTTAAGTGGAAACAATCTTAGTGGCCAAGTTCCTCAAAAGCTTCTACAAAAGAAAGGACTGAAACTGAAGTATGACACTTCTCATCTTATCTTCATTTGTTGAATACCACACAATTTATACTGAATAGCATTTATGATTCACAGTGTTGAAGGCAACCCTAACCTTAGTTGCACAGAAAGGCCATGTGTAAATAAACCTAGAGAAACTGGACATGCCAAAAAGAGTATAACTGTGCCAGTTGTTGCATCAGTTGCTTCAATGGTTATTATTGCAACTGCATTGGTTACATTTTTCATTCTCAAAAGGAAAAAATCATCAAACAATAGAGGTATTCATAAAAAAATTCATTAATTTTCATCTATACAGTAACACTACATATCAAACTACAAAAACATATTAATATTTTGTATTGCAGAAAAGGGAAGAACACCAAGATCGGAGCCACCGAGAATAACTAAGAAGAAAAGATTTACTTACGCAGAGGTTACTGAAATGACAAATAACTTTGAAAAGATTCTTGGGAAAGGAGGGTTCGGCATGGTTTATCATGGATATTTGAATGGTACCGAACAAGTTGCTGTTAAAGTAGTTTCTCAGGGTTCAGTTCATGGGCACAAACAATTCAAAGCAGAGGTACTCGTAAAACTACAATCGTTTATCACGTTTTTGTTAAATATGAACCATTTATTTCTATATTGATATCGTGTTGGTTTTAGGTTGATCTTCTTCTGAGAGTTCATCACAAGAATTTGGTAGGCCTGGTTGGATATTGCGAAAAAGGGAAGGACTTGGTTCTTGTCTATGAATACATGTCCAATGGAGACTTGAAAGAGCTTTTGTCAGGTAAGCGAATATGATACACAGGCCAGACACCACATCCCTCTTGAATCTAAGCTAACGCCTTACTAAAAAAACATAGGGAAACCCCACACCTCTGTTTTAAGATGGGGAACTAGACTAAAAATAGCGGTGGACTCTGCGCAAGGTTAGTGAAGCTTAGTGATCATTTCCTCTCAATAACTTTAGTTTTACATATATGATAAACTTCAACAAAAAAAAAGCATTTGTTACACTAGGATTGGAGTATTTGTATAAAGGATGCAGACCAGCAATTGTTCATAGAGATGTAAAAACAGCAAATATTTTGTTGGACGAAAACTTCCAAGCCAAAATTGCCGATTTTGGGCTTTCTAAATCATTCCCAAACGATGGAGAGAGCCATGTATCCACAGTTGTTGCAGGAACTCTTGGTTACCTTGATCCAGAGTACTTAACTATTGTTTTGAAAACATATGTGTTCTGCTCTTACTTCAACACATTAAAAGTCCTGACAATATCTTTATATTCTCGCTTGCAGATACTACCAAACAAATTGGTTGACTGAAAAAAGTGATGTATATAGTTTTGGGGTCGTTTTATTGGAGATTATAACAAATTTGCCAGTGATTGACCAGCATAGTGAAACACCATACATAGCAGAATGGGTGGGAGTAATGGTCACCAAAGGAGATATTAAAAACATTATAGATCCAAGACTTAAAGACGATTACCACTCTGATTCTGTTTGGAAATTTGTTGAGCTAGCAATGGCTTGTGTCGACGCTTCTTCAGCGAGTAGACCGACCATGTCTCAAGTTGTTATTGAGTTAATTGAATGTTTAACACTTGAAAACTCGAGAGGAGGAAGGAGTTGTGACATGGAATCCAGGGGTTCAAGAGAAGTGACCATGACATTTGGAACTGAAGTGAACCCCGCGGCTCGCTAGGTTTGCACAAAGAAGAATCTTCCGCTGCATTTTCATTGTGTATTTTTAAAATAATTCAGAAACGTTTTGTCTGAAGTAACAAATTTGATATTAGTACAACTGCAATAAAAAAAAAAAAAAAAAAAAAAA